CTTCTTCGCATCGCAGACTTCCGGGCACAAGTTCGAGTAAAATTTTTCCAAGAAGCAGGAGCCCAGCGACTGCTCATCGACGACAAGGCTGCTGGCAAGTGGGCACACTCCGGGGAGATGTATCAAAGGATTGATGAAAGAACTGCCGCATTTCGCGAAGTGGAGCCAGTAAAGAGGCTCGGTCGCTTCCAAGCGCCGAAGCCCCCCTCGAAGGCGTGCTGGCACATGCGCTGTTGCAAGGGCGACGGCCAACAGCAGCAAAGACGAAAGAAGGTCGGGCATGGGTTTCAGCAGCATCAGCGGTTCGGTCTCAGAGCATCTTTGAGCCGTAGCCAGTTGGCGTGCTTTGGGATTTGGGGGACCGTTTATGGAAAACACCATACAAATATCGCCAAAAGCCCATGAAAAGACATGGGGATTCGATTTTGAGCGGCTTCCGTGCCTCCAGTTTTGCCATCGCCCGATCGTATGCTTTGTTCAGCGACCGAAACCTGTGCGCGGAAATCTTTCGGACTTCTTGATGACTGGTGCAACCATAACTCCGAGACAGCTCTTAGGAAGCATACTTTGGGCGACCACCCTACATGCGGTTCATGACGGCAAGGTAGCTGTGGAACTCATCGAAAGACTGGGATCCTATGTCTATTCACGTGCTGGAGGGTATGATGACTGCCTAATATCATCGAAGCAACCGCTGCTGGGCTGTTCGAAGCTGTGCATAAGGGAGTTGATCTGAATCCTAAAAATAGCTGCTAGGCAGTGTGACGACTGATTGCTCAGAGGGCTTGCTAGCTTAAACTCCGAGCACCCGAGGTCGCGGATCCCAAGAAAACCAAAACCTTCTTGTTGGGATAAGGACCCAAACAGTACGAACTGCTAGATAATCCGAATAAGGGGGTTCTTTTACAATAGAATAGAATTGCATGATCATGGAATAAAATGGAATTAGAATCCGAATATCACGGCCCTGATACTTAAACGACCCCAATATCTATAGTTCTTGGGACACCCTTATATAACAGCATATATAAAAGAAACCTATAATTGAAAATATATATATATATATATAACCCTAAACCCTAAACCCTAAACCTTATAAACCCTAAACCCTAAATCCTAAACCGTATTATATATTTAGATATATAGGACGCTTACAAAACCCGAGGAAACGCCGTGCGCCGGACCTCTCCGGGTCTCCTCCGAGGTCGGGGTGGGCGCCTCGCACGCGTGCTCGGAAGGCCCGCCGAACCTGCAGGAGGTCGGGTTCAGGAACCCTTTAATTTAGGGCTTAGGATTTAAGGTTTAGCATTTAGGGTTTAGGATTTAGGGTCTAGGGTGTAGGGTTTAGGATTTAGGGTTTAGGGTGTAGGGTTTAGGATTTAGGGTTTAGGATTTAGGGTTTGGGGCCTCTTCATGTTTCTCTTTAAAGATTACATAAGGAAGATAAAGACTTAGAGCAAGCCGGTTAAGTAAGGCCTCTGTGTCTAGGGTTCTCTATGACTCTATGTCTGAGGCTTGTAAAACTTCAGGCAGTTGTGGAAAGAGACTGCCTAAACCCTAAACCCCTACACCCTAAACCCTAAACCCTAAACCCTAAACCCTAAACCCCTAAACCCTAAACCCTAAACCCCAAACCCTAAACCCCAAACCCTAAACCCTAGGAAGAAGGTCGCTGTGCCGGAGGCTTCAGGGTCCGGACGGTTCGACTCAAGGTCCCTGGCTTGAGGGTTTAGGGTTTAGGGTTTAGGGTTTAGGGTTTAGGGTTTAGGGGTTTAGGGTTTAGGGTTTAGGGTTTCGGGTTTAGGGTTTAGGGCCCTGGAGTC